AAAGAAGCGGCAAATAAATAGGATTATCTCTCCGGTGCACATCTGGAGGTTGAATACTTCTTCTTCTCGGCTTTGTCGTTGCTATAAAATCTAATCTAAACAGAAATGCGCAGCAGCTTTTATGCAGCCGACACCATACGCTTACATACGGAGATTCACTAAATAAACATCAGGTAAAGTTCCGTATTAGTTCCGTATTAGTTCCATATTAGTCAGGCAGGGATACTACACCATCCCTTCCTACAGATAATCATGCCCTCGTGATTTTCAAAAATTAGCGAAATGTTATGAACACAGCGTCAACCGGAAGATGGCAAATTATATCCGAAATGATAACGTTTAGAGTAGACAGAAGAAATGAACTGATAACAAATCATAACATAGAAGTAAAAGCGCACCAGGTTCACACGATCTCTCGGGGTCAAAAGGGAAAGAATGGTCCTCCAAACAGGACGTGAAAGACAGCCACATTTCTGCTTATCGCGGGCTCAAACTGCCAGGAAGTTCACAATTTCAAAAAATGCACTGCATCGTGGGGACTTACTCCGGTACACACCTGGAGTGTAAAAAGGGGATTCTCACACACTTCTCTCACCAGGTTACTTAGGTAAACCGTGGCTCACCATGATCAGACGCCTACCAATCTAAACTGGATTCACACACTCGCATAAAGGAAGACTGAAGAGAACAGGGAGACTGAAGGAAGACAGGAAAGAAAATGCCATACCTGGAATCAGCGTTAGTAACCACCGCGGCGGCTGGAGCTACGGCGGAGGGCAAGCCAGGTTTTATCTTCATCTTGGTTGAGCCGGTCACACTGAGCGGCTAGCTCGGCGTCAGACAAATGACCTCCCTCCTCGTCTTGAATCGTTGTCTTCATATTGTCGATAGCATCGCTTTGCGGGACGTAAAGAGTGATGGTCTAGCCAGGAAGAGTGTTGACGAAAATCTGCATCCCACCACGGAGGCGAAGTACCAAGTGAAGAGTGGCCTCCTGCTTCCGACTGCGTGCCGGCGAAAATCAAACGCTGCTGGTCTTGGGGAATACCCTCCTTGTCTTGGGCAGCAGCCTGCATGTGGTCGTCCTCATCAGCTTCGCCATCACCACCGGTAGTATACATGTAGGTAGCGGGTCGCTTGGAATCGCCATCGGAGTCTCCAGTGGATGCCGTGCGGAGAGAAGGGTGATCCACGATAGCACCCTGACTGTGCTGCAGGCTAATAAGCAGGACCAGGCCCAGGAAGGCAAGAAACATGATTCTGATCTAGCTGCAGCGGGTTGAGGCATGGGGGCCTGCGGTAGAATCACGTTGTTTTATTTTCCAAAAACACACCGCTGCCACCAATGTAACAGGTGGCCGAGTGGTTGGCGCGGTGCAATCAACAAGAGTAAGCTTTATTCTACTTCTCTCAGGTACACACCGGGGATATAATTATTAGTAAAAGAAGAAACGGCAAATAAATAACTTTCTCTCTGGTGCACACCTAGAGGTTGAAACTTCTTCTTCTCGGCTTTGTCGTTGCTATAAAATCTAATCTAAACAGAAATGCGCAGCAGCTTTTATGCAGCAGATGCCATACGCTTACATACGGAGACACACTAAATATCCATCAGGTAAAGTTCCGTATTAGTTCCGTATTAGTTCCGTATTAGTTCCGTATTAGTTCCGTATTAGCCAGGCAGGGATACTACATTATCACCATTGTATTCGACTTGAAAAGTAATGTCACGAAAGGCCTAGTCGAAAGACTTGAAACTGTATGGCTTCTGTGATTCGTGTGCTGAATTGCTTTTCTCCAACCAAGAATCTATATGTAGGACTCAGTATAGAGCCCATGCACTATATGATGTCCAGCACCCTATATAGAGTCCATTGGTCCAAAAACCAATATACAGAGTCCAGGAGTCCACTCAGTTTCGATCAGCTTCATCCTGCCGCGCAATCCCCTATCAGGAGTACACTTTTTCTACAAGTCCCCTATTCACGGTCCAGGAGTCCAGTTTATCCAGTCACGCCGTCCTGTGTGGTGTGCCCGAAAGAGAAAACACCTTTTCAGTTTTGCTTGCCTCATGGCAGCGCATTCCTTTCTTCACTTCAGCCATGGCTGCCAGTTCTGCTGTGCAGTTGCTGACAGTAATCTGTCTCGAGGTAACCAAGGAGGATAAGGAGACGCTCAAAATCAAATCTGGAAAGCGTCTTGTGGTTCTCTGAAGACGTTTCATCCGTGCACGGGATGAAAGCAGAAATTGCAGAACAGTTCAGCACAGGTCAAATCTGACGAGTCAGGTACACTGACGCTCTCTTTCGTTCGACGCCACAAGGATCCCCTGTTTGGCTGGCCATTGCGGCCAGGAAGGCGTTTGAACGGTTTCACCAGAGGGAGGGATGAAAGCAGAAAGCGGAGAACGAGAAAAGTTCAGCACAGTTCCAATCTGATGAGTCAGATACACTGACACTCTCTTTCGTTCGACGCCACAAGGATACCCTGTTTGACTGGACAAGAGCTGCCTGTAGCACCGTGTCAAAAGGCTGTCCAACTACATCGCAGGCCGATGACTGAGGTAAGGAAGCTTCTACTCGTTTCGATTGGTCTGCCGTTCTGTCGTTATGCTTGAATTTTTTCCATTTTCAAGGATCGTATCGCGTTTTTGTTTGATGTTCCTTGAATGAATGCCATAAAAGTAATGAACCACTTCGTAATATTCCTCAAGGACTGCAAGGACTTTGCATCAATCGTATACGATCGTCTAGCTATCATCAATTATTATTTTATTTCATCAGAAAAAGTATTTTTATCCCTGTGATAATTATGTGAACTCCACGACACTCTTCCTCTACTACTAGGCTCTAGTATGATGTCAAATACAATGGGATCCACAAACGCAGTGTCAGTGTACGGTAGTAGTAGGAGGAGGATTTCTTGTATGCCGATGACAAGAAAAAGCTTCTCAAGCTAATACATGTACTCGTATTCCATGAAGTAACCGTTTTGATGTCACAAACATGACATTGTGTCAGTGAAACTGCCTCATGTCAACAAATCATTGCATTTCCATCTTGGGGAAGACTGACTGACGGCAACGCTGTACAGATTTGTTCAAATCATCTCATTAATTTTCAATTTAGTTGCAGTGAAGTGAAACACTGTGTACACTACATGTATGGTGGTGTGTCTGTGCGTCTTGAGTGTGCACAAACGATCTTATTCCTCGTATTACTAATAGATTATTGTCCCCACCGTCACCTGTTCACAGGTCTTTGAGTGGATGGATTTTCATTGAGCATCACATTCGTTGAGAACTTGGTAGTTGTGTGCTCCCACGCATCATTACGGTAATAAGCGTATCCTTGTGCTATCTATTTGTTGCAGGTGTGCTGATCTTCAGAAGCTTGCGGAACTGAGTGCTGCTGAACATTTGCATGGCCATGAGCAATCGTGAAACTTGCTATTGCACTCTCAGGATGTGCTAGTATTATGCTGACTACTGCACTATGTTATTCTCTTACACTGCTACATGTATGTAAACGTGCGTTCATCCGCCCACGTATGCATTCGTTTCGTATAATTATTTGTTATCCATTAACTGGTTTTGAGGGAAAGAGACAAACGGGAAAAGTCTGAAGAAAAAATTGACTGTCACCACCAGGACTCGAACCAGGGACCCTCGCTTGTAGCCAGCGATGCTCTAACCACTGAGCTATGGTGTAGTCGTCATCCAAGCAGAGACCGTTTAACGTTTTCTTCAGACTTCGTAACTCACACTTCCTGTGAATCCACACAGGCGGGTGGGACGCAGCCCTCACTTTACCCACACACTTCACGTACAAACTAGCACGCGGGGAGCCCCAAGTCATAAAATATTAACTGGTTTTGAGGGAAAGAGACAAACGGGAAAAGTCTGAAGAAAATTGACTGTCACCACGAGAACTCGAACCAGGGACCCTCGCTTGTAGCCAGCAATGCTCTAACCACTGAGCTATGGTGTAGTCGTCATCCAAGCAGAGACCGTTCAACGTTTTCTTCAGACTTCGTAACTCACACTTCCTGTGAATCCACACAGGCGGATGGGACGCAGCCCTCACTGTACCCACACACATCCCTCTTGACCTTACGTGTAAATGGGTGGACGTTTGCATGGCTGTTGGAGTTGCGTGTGTATTGAGTCTCTACTCTTTTCTTGGTGTTTTCTTGGCGTTGTATAAGTTTGTGTGTGTGTGTGCGCGCGCACAAGAATTTGAAAACAAATAATTAACCCTTGTCTCTACATTATTCTCTTTCGATTCTTGTTTTTTTCTAGGTATTTTCTTGGCGTTGTGTGTGTGCGCATGTGTGTGTGTGTGCATGTGTGTGTGTGCGTGCACAATAATTTGGCAACACTACATGATTGAGATATTGTAATTGCAGCGTCTGCGAAGAGACCACTTGATTTGAGGATGGTGTTTGTAGGGTTTTTCATGTAATGAAGTGGATGCAGTGGCGCCTCAATACTTATTTTTTTATCTTGAGAAGTGAATGATGTAAAGGATTAAAGGGAGAGGCCGTTTTCTGGTTAATATTCACTGCTTACAGCAGATCCTATGTCTAATTTGGAACTCTGGATAGGGGATGCCTATATGGCTGGACTTTATACAGGGAGTGTGGTCCACATAAAGACTCCTTATAGTTGATTTCAAAGTTTGGACTCCATACAGTTGATTTTGGACCAATGGACTCTATATAGGGTGAAGCCAATTGGCTGGACTCTATACAGGGAGTGATGTCCATCTAAACTTTGAGCTCACAGTTGATTCCAAGTTTGGACTCTGTACAGTGGATTTTGGACCAATGGACTCTATATAGGGGTTGGACATCATATAGGGGCTGGACGCTCTACTGAGTCCAACATATACACACACAAAAAGGCACATAAACTCCCCCACATAAACCCACAAACGTACACAAACACACACACACACACACATTATGCCATGGACATCCTCCTAGAACAATAGCCTAACCTGGATACGGTGATTGTATATATCCACAACCAGCAATCTGCCGTCGGACGAGATAATACCCTGTGGTCCGTTGAACTGTCCTGGTCCACTTCCTTTAGTACCAAACTTGTTCAACTGCCTTCCTCCTTTCGTAAACACCTACATGTAGATCATGCAAATAGGCACAATCACACACCCAGACACACACCATACCCATACCCATTTATACCCAGACACACGCATGCTCTCTCACGTGTGCACACACACAGACACACGTACACACAGACACACACGTACACACAGACACACACACACACATATACACACACATATATACTTGTACTTGTTGCTCACTGCCAAAACTGGTCACGTGGGTCTCCCCGGGAGAGGGAGAGAGACTCAAAAGGAATCTTGGAAAGATGATTCAACTGGCTATTGAACCGCCCAACGACCGACACCCTCTGAAATCCCCAAAACTCTGGGTGGACTTGAAAATGATCCCACTTATGGGCTCACCACACCTCAGTAAGTGGGTGAGGACAAGGTGCAGAAAAAGGATTGACGGCATCAGGGTATCCGTCCTGGGATCCAACTGCAGTTACCCCTGCCCCCAGTGAAGGTAATACTTGCTACTAATGTGGGTGGCTAAGTCAGAGTGGATCTGATATAAGCGTCCCTAGCACCATTGATTACACAAGAGTTAATCTAGCCAGAAGCAGTCCATGGTTAACAGGTATGTATACTTCAAATAGAAAGTATACGGACCCTGAAACCAACAAAGGTGGCAGATACAACAATACACCTTTAAGCAGCCGAGCCTGTTGGCAACAGACCCAACACAATCAGGCATAAGTGTACCCACCAACCGAACTAGCTGGCACATACACAGATACACAAACACTTGCCTTTTGACCTTTTGACCATTTTTTATCCCACACAAACATCACACCGCATACTCCGGCATGCACTGGTTGTTACCACGCAGCAGAATGAAAGAAAAGTCAGGAAGAGTCTGAGAAAAAGAAGAAAGACATGTGGGACCATAATCTTCGTGAATCGAACCCACCACCTCTCGATTGGAAATCGACTGCACTTAGAACTGCACTATATGAGACACACACGCATGCACACACATACACTACTACTATTGACAGCTGCCAGAAATGGCCACGCCGCTCCCCAAAGGGAGGTACTGTCAGAGAGGTTAGGGGAGAGGTAGGCAGTGCTTTAAATGGCGCTCCAGGTCCTGTCGCCTCCGAAATTGGCGTTGATTGCAGACTGGGCAATGATGTTCAAAGTGCTGGCGATCAGTCACTGTAGGGCGATTCGGGCGGGGTCCACAGCGATGGCGCTTGAGGCCAGCAGTAGACTTAAAAGTAGGCTGGTAGGCTGTACATACTGGGACCTCGGCAACAAGATGAGCATCACTAGGCGGTCAGTCGTCACAATTGTCACTCTCTTGGCACTTATGCACTGCGAGCCCACCCCTCACACATACACACACACACACACACGCACACACATATACACACACACACATGCACACACACACAAGCACAAATACACATACATGCCAGTGGCGTAGGAAGTCGGGGGGGGGGGGCGCCAGGTTACCCAAACTTTTATTTTATTTTTTTAGGGCCGAAACTCAGTGAACATGTTTACACGTGCAAGTGAGAAGCATGCAGATCAATCAGTACGAGTCATGCAATCAGCTCGATCGTAGTCAGAGCTGACCCTGCAGTGGGTTCTGTTGTCATGTACAGTGCTGCTCAGGGAAATCCAACCTCATGAATAAAGTAGCGCAGTGTTCGAGTGCACAGACCAGTATGTGTAGTGCTAGGGCGGCGTAGTACCCAGCAACGCTATTTTATTCATGAGGTTGGATTTATTTGGCCAGCACTGTACAGTGTACTTGACAGGCGCTAGGCTCAGAAAGTCTAGACTGGATGAGATCTAGAATACTTCAAGTAGAAGCAAGTGCCACCGGCATGAAGCATGATCGCTAGATCCTCGCTTGGTCGTCTTTGAATCGTAGCTGCTAATTTAAAAGGGTTGTTTTCCGTGGGCGGTTCGAAAAGGGAAAGGCGGCAGTACTTTGCTTCAGTCAGAGTCAGTTCTTCTCATTGCTATATCACAGCTTTCTGGATAAAACCACTCTCCAGAAGAAGTTTTTGAGACTTACTTCAAGACTTACTGTTACTTATCGGAGAGAAAGGTATGACTGATCAGTGGTCATACATTTCAACATGTTCATGGAGAAACTGAGCCCGAGGCTTGCACCTATCATTCAATGACCTCTAGACGATTAACTTTTACCAGGGTCACATTAGTCATCTACACTATCGTGGAAAATTCGTTATGAACGGAACATGCTACTCCTAGTCGCAGGGTGATGAGTCCAGGGTTCTTGTTTGTAATAGCTGAAAATCGGGGGGGGGGGTTCTTAAACGCAAAATTATTCCACTGTCCTTACCAGTAAGTTTTGCTCTATGGTTGCCTCTAATTAACCATTACGGATACATTTCACCTTCAGATAAATTTCTCCTTGGACATTGACCAGGCTGTCAGTCAGAGCTACTTATCCAGTGGTCGCTGCATGCAATCTCTTGTATTCAACATACATGCACAGGACTTTCATTCTTCTTGTCCAGATTCGAGTACTACTACTAGGTTTTCACATGTCCAGTGATGGAGAGTGAAATACTTGAACAATTACAACTTTCCGTAGAAGGATTACCGCCACGGTACAACCACACCAGTATATGAGCAGGTCAGTGCCTAGAAGTCCCCCTTCCCCCCCCCCCCCCTCCGAAACTAAAACATCTTCCTACGCCACTGCATGCACACACATGTATACACTTCTCGCACTTGTTCACTTCTGAAAACTTGGGTTTCCTCGAGGGAGGGCAGAGAATTTCAAAAGGAATCTTGGAAAGGTGATTCAATTGGCTTGTGAACCGCCCAACACCTGAAACCCTCTAAAATGTCCAAACTCCGCGTGGATTTGAAAATAATCTCACTTTTGGGCTCATCCCACCTTTATAAGTGGGTAGGAAGAAGGTTCAGAAAGCAGATTGGCAGCGCCAGGGCATCGTCCTGGAATTTAACTTTTTTATTACGGGAAACCACGAACCTCGAGAACAGAATACTGCATGATAGAGGTGGTTACAGATGCAACTGTGAGCATTTGTAGAGGCTTCAGCTGCCTCTTACTTCAATTAATACATGTATGTGTTCTCAGACCACTGGTATTAAGACACACCCAACTTGGCAAGCACACCAGAATTTTTATGCATAGCAGTTATCTGGCACATATGGACACAAAGAAGGGATGAAAACGGGAAAGGAGGGAGAAAAGTGGCATTGTTCCTAATCCTTTATAAAAGGAGTCACGCCAAAATTACTTGATATTGAAATACATCAGGAAAGATTGAAAGGCTGAAGAATGTCGAGGTGATGACTCAGCGTGGCTGTGAGAAGGAACGGACTCGATACTACACTAAATTAATGGCAAGTGGCAGAATCGGTACACTACTATGTTGTCTTCGGAGACTGGTTGATGAACATTTCTGAGCCAAAGAAATCGGGTGACGTCTCGATCAGGCATCGTCAGCCCAACTTGCAAAATGCCTTCTCTACATCACTGGTTATGCCTATCGGTTTCAGATGAAATCTGACCAGAATTCCACACAGATCTGGTAGCGAGCTTTGCCCACTTTCGAGGCAATCATTCAGGCTGTGGTTGTTGGGTTTCGTCTTGGCTGACGCATCATAAACAACTCGAATCTTCGTTCTCGTGTTGTCAGGCTTCACTACGCAGTGGTGTGGAATGTTGTGTTTCAAGGCGTCAGCGTTCTCCTTCATGTTGACTGTCTCGGTGATGCCACTGTTGAGTTGTCGTTGTATGGTGTCGTTGTATTTGTCGAGGATTTCTGGGGTCTTGGACAGACGCAACACAAGTGTTGTGACACGACAAGTTCTCAAGAGTGAAAGGCCTTCTCGCTTGTGACATTGTGTTCGTTCCAATGTAGTTGTATCCCGACTCCGCCGTACCGCTGATGTTTACGACATAGTATACGCTACCTGCGCTATGTGCGGTTTGCTGTGTGCGCTGTAGTTGTATGTTGTATGTGTATGCTTTTCTCATATACCCTGTCATTTTCATGCTATATAACTACCTGGTGGTTTTAGTGTTAGTTATTCATTCATTGCTCATTGTTATTAGTCGATGGAAGTGAAATATACTGTTGAGAATAAATAGTTGTCCTCGTGCCGTGTGGTCGTTCGTTCCTGACACTTTAGAGAACAAGAGGGTTCACAACATTTGGCGACCACGCCAGGATACGAAGCGAGCATGGCACAGGAACTATGGATCATTGAAGCCAGCATTATCGCTAGCGGAATTCGGTATGGATTTGAAGGCGATAGGTTGAGAGAATACGTGGAGAAGAGGCTCCAACAGAGGGAGAAATTTGAAGAGCGCAGTGCTAGACGCCAAGAGGGTGCGCTCCGCACAGAGTTTGACGAAAAGCTCAAGAAGATGAACGAGCGCATCACCAGCAGTCAATCTGAGGGAGCAAAGCGAGATTTGCTTGCCTTACGCGAAAGGACGCCGGACAAGGCGTGGAAAACTTTGCTTACAGACAAGCAGCGGTCAGAGGAGTATTCGAAGCCAGTGGGAGGATCAGATTCAAGGCCCACCGGGTCGGTGCAGTGCATGGCGACATCGGTCGGAGACGCTCAGAAGCAGCTGGAGTCTCGGCCGAAGGACGTAGAAGTGCAAGACGTAGAAGCGCAAGACGTAGAAGCGCAAGACGTAGAAGTGCAAGACGTAAAAGAGCAAGACGTAGAGGCGCAAGACGTAGAGGCGCAAGACGTAGAGGCACAAGACGTAGAGGCGCAAGACGAAGAGGCGCAAGACGAAGAGGTGCAAGACGTAGAAGCGAAAGACGTAGAAGCACAAGGCGTAGAAGCTAAGGAAATGAGAAGGGCGATACTGGTTAGCACGGAAGAAGTTAGCACGGAAAAAGTGAGCAGCGAGACTGTGTGGAACATGGAGATTAGATGTATGTTATCCGGTCCAGCGTCCGCCCCACGACGCATTGGCCCAGTGACCGTGTCATGTGTGACAGCCAAGATCTGCAAGCTTATCGGTT